AATGTGGGATTTTCTGGCGGGAATTCGGATTAAATCGGACCCCAATATGAATACCGAACACCGGGTGTGAAACCAAAAAAAGTACCATATACTTGTGGCCTTACTTTTTGTTTAAATCATTTAAAGTTGTGTTGGACAATTTTATAATATCATGTCAATATCCTATCATATACAGAGAAGCTATATTGTATAACCTTCTTTTATACGGAAGAAAATTTAATTTTTTAAAGTGCACCTTTTTAAATTACTTTATTTTAATGAAGTGTCAGTTCCAATAATGATGCAATAAGAAAAAATAGGAATGGAAAATTTGGGATGAGAGAATATTTTTATTGTCTTTCACTTTCTGATTATTAATTTATAATGTTTGGATAATGTTTATAATAGTTGGGAATTTTTCTTTTGTCCTTTTCTAACTTGTTATGCCAATATATAAAAGAACTGGTCGTTAATTTTAGTAATAAGGAAAAGTTCCCGTAGTAGTATTAAAATTTGTGCAAACAACAAAAGTTAAAGTGAAAAATGGAACTTAATGCGATGTATAACTAGTATTTTTTATGTATGCTGTATGCATGTAAAATTTGAATCTCCAAATTTTCTTACCACAAAATAATAGACTACTCAATCTTCTTATGGCCGAAATTACTAAAATAGTTAATCAATTGAAATAGTTCACATTTACATTTCCAATAATTCACTGCCTATGCGTGTAGCAAATATGATAACTTGAGCAATTTAGACTTCTAGTTGTATCATAAGAAAAATTTAGATATCTTTTTTCTTCTTATGTATTATCTTCTCTTTTAAAAAGGAGTGATCTTAGGAATAGCAAGAACAGAAGGCAAGAGGAGGATAAGGCCTTGTTTGTTTGGGTTTTAAGATTAAAACGTTTCAATATTAAGATGTGTATTAAGATTAAAATATTTGAATTTGAATACACATCTGAATATAAAGATGTGTTTTAAGATCTGAATACTAAATGATTATGACCGTTTATTTTTTAAACACCTGAATATATAGAATATATCTTTATTTAAAAATTAATAAACATAAATTCAAATGAGATACTAACAATGTGCTAAATTTTGGTTAGGTTGATTACATGCATTTTTGGGAGGAGTCCCACCAGGCATGTGTTTAATTACAATAAATCATGTTAACTTATTACTCCATTCGGTTCACAATAATTGATTTTTTGGCCTTTTTTTTGTGGTTCAAAATATCGAATTTTTCCAAACTTCAAGAATGAATTAATTATATTTTTCCTACATTATGCTTAGAGTAAATAATGTTGGACTATGTGTTAGGAGTGATTATGTGAAGAGATAGTAAAGGTTAATATGGTCATTTTATTACTAATTAATATTAAAAGGTGAATTTCTTAATATATGTGAAAATAGCTAAAAAAAAACACTTCTAGAACTTTCCCCATGTTACATCCAAAAGAATTTGCTTCTCTTTGAGGATTAGAAGTTAGTTAACTACTTTTAATATCAAATGGTGTTACACTTTGAGAACAACAACGTGCGGACGAAGCTACAACAAAAATTCATACGAGATTACATTATGTAATAGCAATATGATTTGCAATTCTAAGGGAGTACGGTACAATCTTTCTCAAGAATATCATACAGATTTTTTTCCTACTTCGATCTCGCCATTATGTGTTTCATCGCGATTGACGTGTGTTAGAGGGATTGTCAAGAGAATCGGCTCAGGTATGTTAAGGCTATCCTTTCTTTATTTTTGGCACGATCCATATGATACAAACGAAACGAGCAAATGCACAACTTTCATAAATAACTCTATTTATAGAAGCACTAGAAGTGCCTATGTTCTTGATTCCCCATGTGTCATATTATTCTATCATATGTTCATAGGTCTCAGAAAATATGTAAGTTGATAAAGTTTATTTCATGATATTAATCAAAGGCGNACTATTTAGACTTACATGTTGAGTCTTTTACTCCATATTTCTCTCATGTCTATTATTTACTAATTTTCATTCCTTGCATACTCGGTATGTTATTTGTACTGGCGTCTCTTTTGCCTGGGGACGCTGTGTTTCATGCATGCAGGTCCCCATAGACAGGTTAAGAGTCCTCCAAGTAGGCTATCAGCTCAGTGGAAGGTGTTTGTGCGCTCCATTGCTCCGAAGTTAAGAGTACATGTATTGATTGGTATGGCGGGGCCCTGTTCCGACCTTTATGATACTATGTACTCTTAGAGTCTTGTAGACAGATGTCATGTATATGGATACTTGTATAGCCATGTCAGCCTATGTTTTGAGTATATAAAGGATTATGCCGGCCTTATAGGCACGTACATCATAAGTGTAAGTCGGTATATCATGTTAGGTGTAACGACCCGGCCGGTCGTTTTATAATTACCGCTCCGTTTTCCCCCATTTATGCTTCTTTATGTGTTTTTCAGCTGTATTTCATTGTATTGTATTGGTTGATTTGGGTTCGGAGTGGTTTTGTAGAGGAATGAGACATTTAGTCTCGTATTTGAAAGCTTTAGTTGGAAAAGTCATCTGGAAGTTGACTTGTGAGTAAATGATCATGGAATTTGGTTTTTATGGTTCGGATAACTTCGTTAGGTGATTTGATACTTGGGAGCATGATCGGAATGCATTTTGGAGGTCCGTGGTAGATTTAGGCTTGAATTGGCGAAATTGAAATTTTGGCGTTTTTCGGTCGGCAGTGGAAATTTTGATATAGAGGTGGGAATGGAATTCCGGAAATTGGAGTAGGTCCATTGTGTCATTTGGGACGTGTGTGCAAAATTTCAGGTTATTCAGATTAGGTTTGATAGGTTTTTGGATCGGTTGCGGAATTCGGAAGTTTTGGAATCCTTAGGCTTGAATTCGAGGGTGTTTTGATTTTTTGATGTTGTTTTGAGTGTTCCGAACAAGTTTGAATGATGATATGTGACTTGTTCGTATTTTTAGTTGGGGTCCCGAGGGCCTCGGGTTGATTTCAAGAGGTTGGAGGATCACGGATTTAATTTGAGAAAGTGCTGAAGAATTCCTTCAACTGTCACAACCACACCTGCGGAGTGGGAACCACAGGTGCGACGTCCGCAGAAGCGAGGAAGTAGTCGCAGATGCGGACATAAGTGAGAAGGCCAGGAGCCACAGGTGCAGAAGAAGGAACACACCTGTTTGACCACCGCAGAGTAGTGGAGAGTTGGCAGCGATCAAAGGCCATGAGCCACAGGTGCGGAAAAAGGAACGCACTTGCGTGACCGCAAGTGCGGGTAGGGAGTCGCAGATGTGGTTAAGGGAAATTAAGTAAAAACCGCAGAAGCGGTTGGCTGGAACGCAGAAGCAGTCCCACATGTGCGGGAAATGGACCGCAGGTACAAAAATCGCTGGGCAAAAACTATATAGACCTCACTTCACGAATTTCAGTCTTTTATCCACCATTTTTGGCCGAGTTGGAGCTTGGGG